TCTCTGTCCCAGAACCATCAATAGGGGCACTTTTTGGAGGAGTGGAGGGGGGACAGAGGAGGTGGCAAGGTATCCAGCGACACCAAGCACTTGAGGGATCTTCATGTACCGACCAAAAGTGCCATAATTTAACTTTACCCAGCTTCATTAAACTCTGCGCTAGATTGGAGACTAGCTGAAACTTTGACTTCCACCTAAATTGGGCTAGCCACATCCAAATTGGGCACTTTGACACAAGCTTCCTGGGGACACTGGTTGAGTGGGGAAGTGGGCACGGGAACCAAAGTTATTGTATGTTTTGTACCGCGGTGCCAAGGTGTCTGGCCGCTAATTAACTTACCAGCTCAGGTAGAGACGCCAAGGTGCCAGGGATGTCGGAATTCATTTGTACCAGGTATAATAGTGTGACAACAAACCAGTTCTTCTTCACCAAGTCTCGAGTAGTGTTTGGGTGAGACAGCGATATATAGCGACAGATAACTATAATCACTCTGAGCTATAAACACAAAAGGGAAAGGGGACTTGGCGGTGACAACCTATCTACTCGTGTCTGTGCTCGGAGAAAAGGGGAGGGTTTGAGAAAGCTGCAAACAAGATTTCATGGTATCACAAACTACATCAATAGCTTAGAAACAAAAAGAGAAAGTTTAGAATTTAATAGACTATGCTGATAGAGAAATTAAAAGGATATGGTGATAGAGACATGAAACAACCTGAGCATGCATGATAATGAAGGTAAAGAAACATTTGGAAAGCAATATTATATGTTTATGACCATATCTATTAAAAAATGGGGACCTGCTATTAAAGTTGGGAGCAGGTTCGCTTGTGGTTTGATTACACCTAACCAATTACAAGTCGGAAAATCTGAACTCAGGGCATACTATCAAGAAGACTATTATACAAGCTAAGTGACAGCACTGTCCAAACAGGGAAAACTACCAACCAGCCTCTAGGTATAGAAATGAGCAGGTACACAATGCCAATCAATCCAGACAACCCATATGTCTCAATATATGGCCATGGTGGTTGGTCTGTGTTTATATCCTCTCCACTTTCTATAGTCATCTTGGGACAGCAGTGTAGGGACGTATAGCCCCAGGTTGCCCATCACCTGGGGAATAGTAGAGGTTGTGGCTTCTTCTCATGAGTGACACTATAGGCTTTTGGCTGTTTCTGGCTTACATTGAGTAGTAAAGCCCTTACAGACGGTATACATGCCTGGGCTCCCTACTTGTTCCGGTCAGGTGGATGCACTGACCCTAGGGTCTTGTCGAATCTTTGTTTGTTCCAAAAATGTGGAGCATAGTACATTGAATGCATTTAGGAAACCTCTTCAAAGCTGTTTTGGCCCAGCCACCATCTTAAGTATATTTTGAGTGTGAAAAAAAAAATGAATAATAAACACTCTGACACAAGTTCCAACTGAGGAACATAAGCTTTATTAGCCAGGATAACCCTCACAGGCTGGGTGAAAAATTTACTTCTGTAGAAAATTGAGGTTCTAGACAAATTATTTTTTTTGTGTCAACTAATTTCGTAGTGCTCTGCAATATTACAAAAAGGGGTTGATGAGGACCCTGCTAAAACGAGCTTACAGACTAGAGATTCAAAACTCTGGCCACAGGCTAATTTACACAAATAAGACCATTACAAACCTTTTTCCCCCTCTCTTCCTCTCTGGACTCCAGCTTATTCCTCCCACCTCTCCATTTGCCCTTTTCCCATTAATGTACATATTTGTAAATACCCCTTACTACCCCAATATGTGCTGTTACTTTGCTTGGTTCACTTTTTTCACTACCATGTTTTGACATATATTGTAATTCAATAGCATTTTGACTCTGTATTAAAAAAAATAAAAAAAGTTTCCTTGCTCTGTTAACTCCTCTAAGTTAATAAAAAAAAAAATTTAAAAAAATTTAAAAAAGCAGTTAATGTGCTTGGATTTAATCCCAGCTACATAGTAGTGGCAGGTTGCATCTAGCCTGCGAACTGGCTTTGTCGACTGTTTATCCAGGTGAAAGAGATCACTAAGGAAATATTTCATTAGTGTTGCCATTTGTAGTCCGCTAAAATATGAGAGCAATCCACAATCAGAGTAAATAGTAATACACTTGCCTAGTTCAATTATTATACCTTTGGAACACAGCATTCCATATCATAGCAAGTAATGTATCCTCATTCCCCAATTGGAGTCTTCTGCTTGTATGTATTGTTAAACATAATTTCAAGCACGCAGAAAACTGAAAATCCTTCCTGTTGGTATAGTAAAAAAGAAACCTATATCATTAAGTCATGCAGAACATCTTGACATCTCAATAAAGTAACTCACCCACTGGAGGGAGGCCTAGAAAATAAATCCTTAAATATACACTGTAGGTACTTTAATCATTTTACTGGATTGGTTATGGTGCCTTGAGTCTCCTAGCACTGTCCCTCAATTCAGAGGTAAACCATTTCTGCATAATGTAACATTGAATAAGAGTCAATGATCCATCCACAGCCAGAACCCTAGTTGCGTTATGGCTAAGGCAAAGATTACACACTTCCTTCTAACCATACCAAGTCATACTAGCAATAGGCGCAATGAAAGTGGTCAGCTGATACAGAGCCAATCACAGC